CATGCACAAGAGTTCATTCTAAGAGTTTTAACTATATGGAAGCTTTGCATAATTTAGGACATAAAAGGTCTACTACTACTAGGTGCTGCATTTCCTAGATGGCCAAATACTCAAAATTCATAAAGTAATAAATAAATGTATTTAATGTGAACTCAGAGAATACACTATTTCATCATAAGTAGCAAATGTTTTGAATACCTGTTTTTAAGTGTTACAGGTTGTGGCCATATTGGTCTACAAGCAAAAAGGAATCAGAACTCTGGTTAGAGAGAGATCTTTTATTAGACCAACTAGATATTTGCAAAAAAATCTTTATTTGCAAGCTTTTGGGCACGACACCCTTCCTCAGGCATAGGAGAATGCAAAGATTGTAACATTTCTTCTAGGTGGATATGAAAATTCATAACTCACAGGAGAGCTGAAGGTATTATAAGATCTCCTAGTTAGAAAAGTTCATTTTGTGCAAATTAGGCTCAGATAAAAGTTAGAGCAGTCTATTTACCTCAGACTTGTCTGATGGTAAGCAGGATGTTGGATTACGGTTTTTTTTCTGGTTATGATGTTTCATATTTTGCAGGAGGGTGGGTAGATGCAAGGAATTTCTCTTGTATTGAGGCAGCTCCAAGCTCTGTGAACATGCAAATTTAGCTTGGAACAAAAGGCAGGAGCAAGGGTGTCAGCTTTCAGGTTTTAAGGTGTTGAATTTTGCCTTCTTGTAAAACTATCAAGTTTTCATATAACAAATGGCTAAATTTGATATCTTCCATGTTTCAGGGATACAGGTTGTAACCTTATTGGTTTACAGGCAAATGGAATCAGAACTCTGGGTAGAGGTGATATCTTTTATTAGACCAAGCTGACACCCTTGCTCCTGCCTTTTGTTCTGAGCTAAATTTGCATGCTCACAGAGCTTAGAGTTGCCTGAACACAAGAGAAATTCCTTGCCCAGGGAAGCATTCCACCTGTTCCATCCTCCTGCAAAATATGAAACATCATAACCAGAAAGAAACTTAAACTTAAGTACACAGTTAACTGTAAATGGTATTTCAAGTCAGTTATATGGCTTTTGGATCTGACCCTTCCTTGACGGGTGTGCAACGCCATTTAATTTGCGAAATGGGAAGAGAAGGCTTCTCCCACCTCTCAGTCCAACAGCTTAATGGGTAGAAGAGAGCTGTCCAACTGGTGGCCAGTGGACCCCCCCCCCGCCCCATTGCTCCTGCTGACGCAGCTGGGTTCTTCAGGCTCTTCCACTGTCCTCCAGCTTTTACCTGTCCCTGCTTTTGCCCCTGTAGTGGAAAAGGGCCAGGGGGGTTGAGCTGCACAAATAGCAGGGGAGAGGGCTGTATTGCTTGCACTGCACTTGGGAGGCAGAAGCTGGGCTGACCACACTGCTGGGAGGAGAGAGGAGAAGAGGGGTATACTGCTGGATATGTGGCAGAGGGAGCCAAGCTACCTGTGCTGTGGGGGGTGGACAGTAGTTGGACTGTGTGTGTGGTGTGGAGGTAGTGTGTTAGGCTGCCCATGGGGCTGTGGCCTATATGGTGTGTGGCTCCCAGCTGCCTGGAATTTTTACGGCTTTGGATTAGGGGCACTTGTTCAGACACTGGAAGACTCAGGTTCCTAGGCCTCCCTCAGTCAGCTTGACCCCACATTTCCCATTTTGCTGGCAAGTGCCCTAGCATCCAGGTGATGGGCTAGGCCAGGGTAGGCAATGCTTTTTGGCCGGAGTGCTGAAAAAACCACAATGTCTACCTTGGAAGGTGCCGGAGTACTGACATACCAGAGCCCGGAGCAGCTGTTTACAGCCTCCCAGCTGCAGCTGGCCCACGGAGCCCGGTCTGCCTGCATCAGGACTTGCGGCCTCCCAGCCGCCTGCTGGGAGCAGCCTGGGCTCTGTGACTGGCAGCAACTGCTTAGGACCCGGGCTGGCATTGGTGTGCCAAGCAAAATGGCCTTGCGTGCCATGCTCAGCATGCGTGCTGGGGGTGGCTGACCCCTGGGCTAGGCATTGCCAAGACCAGCTTCCACCTTTATTGAAGCTGGCCTACTGACTGGCCAAAAAAGCAAGATAAGTGAGGCCAAGCGGAGAACAGGCCAGAAGCACTGTGTTAGTGCTACAGACACAGTCTGGGAATTGAGTTTGCTCTGAATTCTGGCTTCTGCTCCTTCCCCAATAGTTTCTGCACTTTGCATTTAATAATTATTGGAGAAAATTGGGCTGACAGCAGTAGGCTAGCTTGTCCCACTAGTAGCGTAGGGGCTAGAACTTAAGGACCCTCTCTTATCAGGCAGCACCCCTTTTGGTTGTGTTGCTTCCTGGCCTAGTGCATCTTTCTCTCCTGGCTGCTACTAATAGCCAGAACAAGTCCTTCCTTGTGTGTGTGTGTGTGTGTGCGCGCACATGCATGTGCACAGGGGCAGTATGATTTAAAAAGCTGTATTAATGACTCAAAATGGCATTTATACAGCTGAAGATAAGTGCTAGTTCTCCACCAAAAGAGGAGTTGGATTTGGCCCCATAGCTTTAAAAGCACATCTTGTTTTGGTGCCACTTTGCTCTTCAGGATGTGTATTTGTCCTTCAATTTTTCAAGTGTAGAAATGGTTTGCTTCAACTATAGACTGTTGAAAAAGATGGCCTTTTCAAGTGTAAATCAGCGCTGAAGCTTAAGAATCTTCTGCCCAACCTTTTTCTAGGAACTATGCTGAGAATTGATTTTTAGCCTAAAATTTAAATACAGTAAGCATTCATGATGCAATTATTACTTGGAGTGCTTTAATACAAGTACAGAAATCAAAGCAATACCTAATGGGATACATTTTTTATTTATTTTGAAAAATAACTTGCATGGGGAAAGGAGAACAGTAATTTTCATTGCCCTTAATAGAGATTTGAGCTAAAATTCAGGTGAATTTACATTAGGTAAAGGACACATTTGAACAGGTAACATGAACTTGATTTGTCTAGCAAAGGTAACTCTCATTTTCATTCATTTCAAACCATCAAGGTATATTAGGTAAATGGTTGTAACTTAACATAAGTTGTTTGAATCCCAACCAGTACCATATCAGAGCAAGAGTATAGTATAGAGAGCATCAGATCCAGCAGGGGTTTTGATATGCTTTCCGAGTTCAGTAATAAGTGATGAGACATATTCATGGTCAAGGTACAAACTTTTTTTGGTCACTATTTTTAGATATTTATTTTTCCTGTAAAATGTTTGTTTTATTTTACTCTGGCCAGGTCATCCCACCTTGGAGGGATACAAATGATGGAGTAGCATCCACTGACCAATATATTATCACACTAACCTTTAACTTTATTTCTTAGCTTCCTATGCTGATGCTTCAGAGAAACTTTTCTGCACCTACTTTTAACTGTTGGTCTGTGCCTTGGGACTAATATTTGTTGACAATTAAACCTCTACTTCAGGTCTCTGTGGATTGAGTTCATTAAGACTGCATTGGTTAATGTTTTGAAGATTCCTGTAGTATAAAAGTTAGATGTGTAATTCTGTAAAAGTACAAAATTAAATTCTGTACAAGTCAGTGGAAAACAAGCATTGTTGCGCCAGCCATTGGTGAGTGCTTTTGTACATTATGTATTAGAATTTCTTCCACAATATTGCAATGCATTCAGATTTGCCTTGAGTTGTGGGCATTAATAAGATCTGCACACATGGCAAAGTTTTAAAACCATATAGGAGTTAAAATGAGCAAGTTAAAACTTTTCTCATCTATTTTTTTAAATCTGTTTGAAAGGTAAAGCATCTTACAGTTCCAGACTACTTTAGTCTCTTAGCTGTTATCATTTAACATCTTGAATGGAAAACTGTCTAAGAAGTTTTTTTCAGGGTTGCTTTGTTTTATGTATGTCAATGAGAATTAATATTCAGCCCAAGGAGGAAGACTTCTAGGTCTTGACTGAGTTGTCCTGGGTGGACCAGACAAAGACTCTTGTTGAAGGTTATGGTGTTCTAGGCAAGCATAGGCCTCTCATGTTAAAAACTGCGCAACCTGAGCTTTATCTACCTTTATATTTTCCTACAATACAGGAAAATAACATGTGCCAAGTATAGCTGAATTTAATTGAATCAATTTTGTAATTATTATGTTTACATTTTGTTTGTAGACTACTACTCTGTTATCATTGCAAAATTGTTGTAGCTAGCACTGCTATAATAATAGTCCATAAGGCTCTTTACTTGGTATGATTCATGGATCTTTGGCTGTAATGTTTGAGAGCTTAGTTTGATTACATATTTTGTAGTCATTTAAAACTTGTTTAAGCCATGATGATATTAATTAAAGAAATACTGTCAACTTGATCTTTTTGATCAGCTCAAAGCAGGAGCGTCAGATTCATCAGACCTCACTAGTATGGGACTGGCCTGAGGGCTAGCGTGCAGGGCTGGTTCAGTGTGAGCACCCTGGACAAGCACCATGTGATGTGTGCCATGTAGAGCCCACGGGATCCGGCTACCCCTGGCTTCAAGAAATACTTTGTTATAATGCCTCTTAAATATGTCCAGAAATTTAAAAAAAAAAAAAAAATTTAACTGGTTTTGGATCCCCTTCCCTTTTTGTGTCTAGAATAGTCTTTTGACCAAGGCTTAATGCAACATCAAATGCATCCTTTTTCTTTCATGTTTATGTGTATCTACACTTAAAAGGCCTTTTCACCAGCACCAGAACCTTCAAGAAAACACCCCCTTAGAGGGCTTGAGGAAGAGTAGCTAGTGTTAACAAAACCAAAAAATAGACTATATATAATGTCTTTTTTAGCTTGGTGCACACCACTTATTGTTTTCTTTAAACTTTCAGTTATAATAATTTGAGTGATTTCCTATAATTATAGTAGATATAACATTTTTGAAAGCCCCCCCCCCCAAGTTAGCAGTGTCCTTTTTAGATGAGCTTTGATGTATGTTTTGAGGCATTCATGATGTGTGCGCTGAATTACCATTTTCCTGGTATGTTTTTATGTTGTTTTTGCAGGTTTGGACTGAGCAATAGATTTGAATCTGAATTCCCTTCATCATTAACTGGAAAGGTTAGTATCCTTTGGATAAGTTAGAAATGTAAGGCTAAGTTAGAAATGTATAACGAGCTGATAAAATTTAGAATTTAGTAAACAAGATTTCGTTACTAGACAAGTTTGATATTTAGATTTCTATATATACTCAAGCTTTACAAGAAAACTTACAAAGTTATAATGCAATGGTATTAGAGTTATTTTCCTTTCCTTTTCCTTTTTTAATTCTTCTTAGGTTGCACCAGAGGAATTTAAAGCCAGCATCAGCAGAGTTAACAGTTGTCTTAAGAAGAACCTTCCTGTTAATGTCCGATGGCTACTTTGTGGCTGCCTTTGTTGCTGCTGTACCTTAGGTTGTAGTATGTGGCCAGTTATTTGCCTCAGTAAAAGAGTAAGTTGGATTGTATTTATTATTGCTTGCTTATGTGTTTGTGAATTTGGAAATAATTCCTATCTGTGCATCCAGTTTTCAAAATGAACAAAACGGTTTTAAACCAAAATGACTTAATCAGCATTAATCATACCTTTTGTTCTTTTTGGTGCAAGTTGTCATTAGACTAGCTCTTTAGGTTATAATGGAAACTGGACAGACCCACAATGATTTTATTTCAGAAAACTACGTTCAACATTGCAGGTGAATTAATCTTGTCCATCCACTTTCTTTTCCATAATATCCAGTTTGGACCTTTTAGAAACTTAGATGGTGGTTACTTAGATGTCTGAAAAGCTTGGGGCTCCTTGTATCTCACTATTTTGCACCCTGTTTCCTTCACCCTCCCTTCATACTTCCCTCCTATCTCCTCTGTTTTCATGGCAAACATACCTTCTCTCACTTCATCTCCTGGCAGGGGCTTTATGTGCTCTCATGTTAGCAATATTGTAACCCTTGCCTCAGCAATTTAAATGTACCCCATATGTTTAAAATGGCAGGTTATGGTGAGCTGGGGGCTTTCTGTGACTCAGCACTTCAAAGTGCCTGGTTGCAAGACATAAACAGGTTAAACAGTGGAGTTAAAACAGAAGGAGGGGAGAACCTTAGTCAGGATAAGCTGTGCAGCCTCAAGAAGTCAGTTTGGTTCTTAGAAGTCTCAGAAACAAAATAAGGGAGGCTAATTCCTTTGTCTAGAGACCAGATTTTTTTTTTTTTTAAAGAAAGGAAAAATAATCAAAGTGATACTCTGATAACCATGAAAAGCAGTAAGTTTTTTTTTTTGTGGTGGGGGTTGGTGGTGGGGGGACGGACAGGGTTGTCTTGCATAAACTTCTGAAATGAGCCCTTGGAATACTTGAATTTCTAGGGTTGCCAGTCTGGCAGCAATCATGAGATGTTTTGCTGAAATATAGTAATTTTCAGTCAGAGCTGTAGTATGAATAGAAGTGATTTTTTTAATTCTGGTACCCTTGCTTATTCTGGTCTGTGGATAAAAAAGATGGAGGGCATGCTGATTTGCAGTCTTATTGTAATTCATTTCTTCTCCCTTCTGTATCTGTGCTAGATCAGACACTGTCAACATTTAAGAGGATGATAAACTCTGCGAAAGAATACAGAGCACCTTTTGACTATTTTGATTTGCATCAGTCTTGTGCAAAGGTGCCGATTTAATTAAAGAAGTCATGCTGTGAGGGCATCTTAACTCCAGTTAGAATATGAGAGGTCAGAATATTTGAGAGAGGTGGAGCCAAGGCTCTGGGGTAGGGGTGAAGGTTCTGCATAGAAACTAGGAACTGCCAAATTACAGGAGGGTTTCAGCTGAAGTTTGTTATTCAGATGACCCATAAAGCTGAGACAAGAAGGTTAAGTTTTTGGGATGGATGTGTGTACATGCATATTCTGTTTTGAGGAGGATGGAAACTGTTCTAGTGGTGGTCTTAGTTGGGTTATATACACCTTTTATATATGAAGGAAAAACAGTATATATTCTGAAATTGATGAAAAGCAGAAAAATGGCAGCAGGTCAGGGCTGCTGTCCATGAGCTATGGCAGCTGCAATTCATGAGATAACCCATATGAACAGCTCAAGGCTGACAGTAAATCCCAGATTTCTCCTAGCCAAGCTGGAACCAGAAAGCAGAATGCCCTGACCTTTTATCTAACAGCTTGGATGCCTCTGATCTGAAGCTTGAGGCTCAGAAAGTAGGGAAACTGGTAGATTAAAGATCAGTTAAATCTGTCTTAAGAGTACAAATGTTGGTGTAGTAGTATATGTATCCATGGTGGCAGGGGCTGCCCATCAAACAGGGTTGTTACAAGGGTGATGCAAAGGGAAACCATGGCCACCAACTGGAAAGGATCATTGTTAGAGGAAAATAAAAAAAATGACTTTGAAGAGAGAAACCAGAAAGGACAAAAATGAGTACCCAAATTGAAATGCCCAAACCTGTAATCTGGCTGGGGAAGAATTCTAGCGTAAGAATTCTGTCTCTCCAGTGACTTCTTTGAAAACCTGTGACCTAGCCATTGTGCAGAAAGGGGTGGTTTGGAGCATACTTGGAGTGAGAGAATTTGTGGTTAACATATAGCATTGCAGAGATTGTGGACAGTGCTGCTACCCAAGGAAACTGATAGTAGGTTACCATAATTTAAGCAGTCTCAAGTCAGGGAGGCCTAAAGGTAATTTAAAATGATGTTGTCCCCTTTCCCCTTAGGTGCAGCACAGAACGTGAGAATTTTTAAAAAGTTGCAGTACCTTTTGATCCCCAAAATTTTATTATAAAAATATTGGTATATTTTATACAGCTTTTTGCATCAATAGTATCAAGACACTTTTAACAAATGAGGTTGTTGTTGTCATCTCTGCATGTGGGGAAAGGCACAGAGAAGTTAAATGACTTTCCCAGTAAATGAGTTGAGAATGGAACCTATTCCTTCTGGTTTTGTTCTGTTCCCTAGATTGCAGAGTCTGTTCTGTTTGATTTTGCCTGTATTCAAAATTTATTTTTTCTATTGATAAAGTAAGACTATGAGATTGTGATGTGGTCTGGAATCTTCCAGTAAATTTACTGTACCTACATATACATTAAGATAAGGGAAATGTTATTCTAACAAACTTGAACTGTGCCCAAATAGTAGAGAGGGAGGATTTCATCATTACTGGGCTTTTGCAGGTAGCAGAACTCATTGAGGTCATCCATTTTATTGATTTGGACTTTATTATGTAATTCCCCTACAAGAAGGGGGGTAAAATGGGTCTACTTCAGAGTGAGGGATTCTGCTTGCTCCCCTGGCTGGGTGCTTTGCATGGGATGGGGAGTCTAAGAAGTCACAGAACTTATTGGTGGCTGGAAAGAAAAATGCAGCAGGAAGTGAAGAGACTAAATTATCTGCATTGGTTAGGGGAGAAAACAGTTTGGCTTGGGGGTTTCCTTAAAGGTAGTTCTCATAAATTGGGAAGGCTCAAAGCATCCATGTATCTGTTTAATGTTTCATACTAGAGTCTAGTATAAAGATGCAGAGTGATTGCAGTTAAATCACAGTAGCAGATGTAGCTTGCTAACCTTAATACAGAGTACCTGAGGTGATTGGAGTATATCTTGAAGAGCTGCATTACAGTAGCGATTTGGATGCAGTAATTTATGCAAGAGTTTTATGCAATGACCCAAATATTATTTAAGCTTGGGAAAATTTTAGGCCAAGATTTGTTGTCTTGTATGTTACCAGAATCTAGTTTTATTAGAAACTTAGACATATTTGGGTTATAGTTTCAGTGCTTAGGGTCAGAAGGGACCTAAACAGATTATCAGGTCCGGCCCCCTGCCCTGGGCAGGAATGGATGCCACAGTCATATCACCCCAGCCAAATCATATCGTGTTATGTTTTGTTTGTGCTCTCCTAGGCAAAGGAGGAGTGCCAACTCAGATGATAAGCACAGCAAACTTTCTAATCCCTATGTAAAGGAGAAACAAGAACTTCTAGGGTAGGAGACTTCTAATTCTCTTAATCCTCTCCTACCCTAAAGGAAGCAAATGTTCTTACTAGTGTGGGCTTGGAGACAACCCAAGAATACACTAGATGTTAACATAGTACAGAACAGTACAGTTAAAAGAGGAGAAAGACCTCGGTCAGTCAATACAAGGCAGTGCAGCCTCATGAAGTCTGTTCAGTTCTTCGGAAGTGGCAGGAACAAAAAATGAGGGTTAACTCACTTGTTTAGAAGCAAGGTTTGTTTGTTTTTTTTTTTAAAAGGAAAAAAAATAAAGTCCTCTAAAACTTGTTTACTGCTTTTCAAAATTTTTTTTGTCTCGCACAGCCGTCTGAAATGAGCCCTTGGAGCCCTTACATTTCAAGAGTTGTTATCACTTCAGTACAGGGGTGGGCAAAATACAGCCCATGGGCCGGCTGGACTGCCAGGCCATTTTATTCAGCCTGCAGGGCCCCTCCAGAAGGCAATTATTACCAGCCCACAGCTGCCCCTTTGGAAGTTAAAGCAAGGCGTGGGTTTTGAGAGGTTGCATGCCATCAGACTGAGCCAGCTCTGTGCCTTAGCCTCCATGGGGCTTCCAATAATCCAGCTGGGAGCCCCACACAGAGGCACAGAGCCAGTCCAGCCCAATGGCACATGACTCCCCACAACAACCAGAACTCCAGCTGGGAGTTGTGGAGAGCCATGTATGAATGGGCCAGGTGGGTTCCGTGCTGCCGCATGCAGCTCCTGGCACATCTGGGAGCTGCATGCCATCAAGCCGGACTCGGCTGGCTCCATGCCAGCATGTGGGGCTCCCAGTAGTGCAACTGGGAGTGCATGCCTTCAAGCTGGGTCAGTCTGGCTCCTTGACTCCACGTGTGGATCCCCACTGCAGTGTTGGAAGCCCCATGAGCAGGCACAGAGCTGTCCTGGCCTTGCCTGATGGTGTGCAGCTCCTGCCTGCAGTGCTGGGAACCCCACATACTGGCACGGATCTAACCTGGCTTGGCTTGAAGGTGCACACCAGTGGGCCAAGCTGGGCTGGCTCCGTGCTACTGTGTGCAGATCTTGGGACTCAGCCAGAGCCACACACCACCAGGAGGCTTTGCCTGTGCAGGCCATGAGCACATCAAGGGCTTGCTGCTGCTGCCGCTGCTGGCAGGGGCTGTGTGCCATGGGGGTGGGGCGTGTGGTGAGGGGGCCCACACCCACCCACTTGCATTCTGCCACGTACCCCACAGCCCCACCCCTGTACAAATCCCACACCCACTTACTGACGCGCACACGTATCCCTGCACCCCTTTACAACCCTGTCAACCCCTCCCCCCCACACAATGTACAAGAGTAAGACTTTATTCTGAGCTATTATGCAATCACCTCTATACATACTGTGCAAACACACACAAGTCAGGGCAAAACTTTTTTTTAAATAAAATAAAAATGTGTTAAAGTAGATATTTGATTTTTAGTATATGATTTAGGGTTTTTT